CCTAACAAGTCCAAGAAATAACAAGGAAAGGAGAGTGGCTGGAGCTGGACAGCAGAGCAGCAAGGGGGAAAATAATAATAGGAGAGGGGCCAAGGAGGGAGTAGGGCTTTGTAGGTCACTGAAAGGACTTGGACTTTGAGTGAGATGAGAGCCATTGAGGGTTTGAGGCAGAGGATAACATGACCTGACTTCCATCTGATCAGTACCACATTGGCCACTGAAGAAACACTAGACAGGTGGAGGGACAAGGATGAACGGCAGTGGGGGAGTAGGGAGGGGGCTACCGCAATGATCCTGGTAAGAGAAAGGCTGGCTTAGAGCTGGCTGGTATTGGCTTAAGTGATATTTAGATTTCCAGTTTTTCATCAGGAATATATTCAACGTATGGCCAAGCTGTATTTTACAATGAATCCCTGTCTACTCAGGATTCTGGTTATATTTTCAAAGAAGCGTTAATGGGATTTGCTGAGCACGTGGGGCCTCTGGGATACCTCAGGGAGGTTACTGCAGACGGTTGGATATTCCGAACTGGAACCAGAAGTGGAGCCCAGGTCTGCCCCATGACAACAGACTCAGGAGCCCACTTTCCCTAAAAAGGATCGTAAGCTACACATACTCTGCCAGTCTGTTGGTACCTAACTTTTATTGGGTCATAACTCCAATAAATTATGAACAGACTGAAACCTCTTCAGAAAAATGTACAGAAAATTACTAGTAAACAATTATGGGAGAATTGTGGATACAGAAAGTGGAGGATATAAAATATAGTCTACTTCACTCAATGAAAAAACATTCAGTTAAGCAGAACCACTGTGAGTGAACGTTGCCAATTTCTAGTAAGCCTATGAAGAACCGAGCCTTACAGGTGACCCCCTTGCCTTGTTCCCAGAGTCCCCATTTCTCTGTCTGCCTGGCCTTTGGGCCGTGGTGGGGAACATGCAGTGAAGAGGGCAGCGGGGAGGAAGGTACCATGTTACAGAATTCCCTGTAGCCCCCTGAATACTGGGAAGCACCCCGAGGCTAGTGCCGAAAAGAAGCTTAGGACTGAGCAAGCCTTCAAGCCAGGGTTTGCCTCCCAGTGATGCTCCCCCCAGGGCATGGGAATAGCACCCAACCGGGTTGGAGCCTGGGCCCTGCCAGCATCAAACCTTCAAGGTCAGGAAATCCGGAGGCAGAGGAGGGGGACAACGTTGCCACATCCCTCAGCCCCTTTAAGACCCCCGAGGCAGGAAGGCTGCCCGGGCCTCACCAGCTTCCCTCCCAGGCTCCTTCCTGGGAGGAAGGGGCTGCCTGTGCCAGCTTCGGTCGACAATGCAAAGGAGGGAAGGAGGCTGGGCAGGTGTTGCAATCCACAGCCCCTGCGCCTGTCAGAGGCCAAGCCATTAACGACAGGGCTGGGGAGAGAAGCTGGGCTGCGGCTGTTTTCAGGAACTTGCCCTGAAGAGGAGAGCAGAGACCAGGGAGGCCTGGCGAGCGCCCACCCACAGGCTCCAGCGTGAGTAGGGGAGCCCCGGGGAGGGCTGGGCCTGGGGCTTGATGGGGCCCTGGAATCCCAGGTCCGCACCACCCACAGCCCCAGTTCTGCCAAGTGTGTGTATGCCGGGGGCCTACGCCTGGGGCCAGAGCTCCTGCCTTTGGGATTTGTTCCTGGGAACCAGGAGCCCTGGACGCTGGAGTCTCTTTTCCCAGGGTGCTTCTACTTTTTTGGGTGGGGGATGCATGGGAAGTCACAAACAGATAAACATCTCTTTGGGGACACTGAGCTGGGCTCAAAGAAAGGGCTGGACTCAGGGAAGGGCATAATCATCATTCCTCTCCGCATCTCTGTCCCTCGGAACCTGTGTCTCAACCGCTCCTGGTCTCCATCTCTCGCTCACTCTCCGTCTCTCTTTCCTCCTCAGCCCCTCTCTGGCTTGCCTTGGCTCTGAGCTCCCCTCTGTCTGTCTCAGAGTCTCGCTGTTCCTCACTCTTTGTCTCTCACGGTTCCCTTTGTCACTTGAATATCTTTTGCTTCTCGGCCTCCCCATGCCTCGGCCCGTGTATCAGCATCCTTGTCTCTCGGGCTGTTTCCTCGCTCTACTTCAGTCTCTTGACATCTCTCCTGCCTTAGTCTTTATCTCCATGAGTCTCTCTCCATTGTTTTGGTCTGTGTTTCTCACTTTCTTCCTCTTTCCACCTGTCTCTCTCTCTCTCTCTGAACGACATCTGGGAAGTCCTCTCCCTTTGTTCATTCCCAGCTGCTCCTCCCCTCAACCCTCTTCCCATAGAAAGAATCTCCACGTGAAGGAGAGTAGAAAGAAGAGGGGAGAGAAGGGTGTGAGCTGGAGAAGGCGGAGGGGAGAAGGCTGAGTGTGATGGGAGGGAAAGGAGGGGAAAGAAAAAGGGGCGGGGGGGGGGGTAGGTTGCAACGACCCCAGGGGACAGCGCTGTATGCCAGGACTCAGAGAGTCCAGGGAACAAGCCACAGTGGCTGGAGCCAAAGGGGAGACTGGAGGCCAAGGAGAAGGGGACCCAGAAACAGGGGGTTGAATCGTGCAGTGGGACACAGACAAAGCAAAGTGGCAGTCCTAGGAGGCTGCGGCCACGCAGCCTGCAAGCGGGGAAGGGAGGCACTAAACCATGCTGATCCCAAGAGGCTGTGGCCCGTTTTCTGGCACGTGAAAATAGCTCGGTTAGCGAGCACTTCCTCTGCACAGGCTCCAGGCTAAGGGCTCCTATCACGGACCATCTCATTTCACCCTCACCACACCCCTGAGAGATGGGCACTGCTGTTATCCCTCTTTCACAGATGGAGAAACCGAGGCCCAGAAAGATGAAGTAACTTGCCCACGGTCACCAAGCTGGTAAGTGGCAGACCTAGGGTTCAGACCAGGTGGTCTGCCTCAGAGCTGCGCCCCTAGAGGGTGAGACGGTGCTCCACCAGGTTCCAGATCCCACTCACCCAGGGTGGGGGGGGGCGCCCAGGGCTGCCGTTGGGGACCAGGCATTGAGGCCAAACGTGCCAACCACCAACAACCCAGGGAGAGGATGCCTGGGCCTCTCAGGGTTTGGGGTTGTGTTGTCCACTCTGGACAGGAGCCAACAGAGAGGGATGAAGTGGAACCTCGCTGGATACAGGCTGGGCCTGAAGCTGACCCCTGCTAGGGCAGCAGGGCTGGGATATGATCAAAACTGCATCAAGATGGGCATCAAAGTCCCAAAATCTGGGCCAAGGAGGCTAAATCTTCCCCAATGAGTGTGTGTGGTGGATAATCAAACTGGCATGCTGTAGGAAGGTTGCCAACCACTGAGTGGTAGACGGGGGTGCTCTGAACAGTTGTGCAGGTTTCTTACTACACAAAGCTGCCCAGCTGAGGAGCAAGTAGAGACTGAAATCCAGCCTCTTCTGTAGTTACCAGGTCCTAGTGTGGGACTGCATTTGTCCAGAGGAAAGGGTGCTTTTTTCCTGATTTGCCAAAAGGTGACTTATGGGCTAGCATTCACCTGGTACCCTGATACAGCAACATATATTGATAGACCAGGGTCTTAAAGTAAGACCCCTGCAGGCAGGAACAGCCTTGGTATCTGGGCAGTTCTTATTCACACCTCTGTCTTAGAGGGAGAGAAGTTTAATTCCTTCTGAGCACAGGGAATCTGCTGGGACATCACCTACACATACGAGCTCATGTATGTACACGCAGGCTGGTCAGCGACCCCCACTGAGCTGTCACCAAGAGCATCAGTTAGTGCTGGAAGACCAGGTGTCTGGCCCCAAGACCCCAGTGGGAGCAGAGTGGAGGACTAGGCTGGAAGCCCACCCCAGCAGAGAGAACTTCACGTACTTCCTCAAACTAATGAACTAATTAGCGAGAACTAATGCTCCCTCCAGCTGGGCACTGTCACCCTGACCACAGGATGCCTGGCCCTAGAAGGCCTCCAGAGGTCTGTGCCCAGAATTGGGGGTATCCTCTCAGCCCACCTTTCCGTCCAGCCATCACTGCAGAAGCCAGCTTCCCACAGCTGTAACGTGACAGCCCCTTGCCTCAGTTGCTCCGTGGAGTTGTCCCTTTCTGCCCGAGGGAGTGTCTCTGACCCTTTGAGCATGGCTCACCCAGGAGAGCCTGCCTATTATGCACGTGTGTGCAACCTGGGATGTGTCAGGGAGTTACCACCCCAAGCAATGGCCCTTGACCAATGGGGGACAGGAGTTGGTAGATAAATGTTCCCATCCTCTCTGCCAGCCAAGGGATGAATTGTCCCTTGGGTGGACAGTTCTGAGGTATGTTTGCATGACTCCTTGGAAGATACTAGTAGGACTGAGACCCAGTTGTCCATATAAGTGACAGACTTGATGACGCACCCTTGTGTTGGCTTTCTCTCCTTACCGGTTTCATTCTCCCCACTCCCTCACTCTGTTTCTGGAATCATCCCAAAATAAACTACCTGCATGCAAGCCCTCATCTCAGGCTCTGCTTCATGGGGGGGAATCCAACTAAGACAGAAGGGAAGGGGGAAGAATGCTGTTCCCTGCTGCTCCTTTCCCTGCTCTCTCCCAGAAGGCATATATAACAATCAGTGGCTATCACTTAAAGAGTTGTTTCCTCTGTGCCAGGCACTGTGTGAAGCCCTTGACTTGCATAATTTTGTGTCTTCTTCTCAAAACCCTATGCAGTATAGGCTGCTGTTACCTCTATTTTGCAAAGAAACTAGGCTCAGAGAGGCCAAGTAACCTGGCTGAAGCCACAGTGTGGGAAAGCAAGGACTAAACTCAGCTCTGATTCCAAAGCCCATGACTTTAACTGTCCTCTCTGCCTCCAGGTGAGCACCAAGCTGGCACTATGGTGGGGCTGGGAACCTGCAGCCTGGCTGAAGCTGCTCTGATCATCCTGCTGCTCCCCAGAAGTGAGTGTGCCCAGGGGTGAGGGGGAATTACAGGGAAAGAAACTGTGGGTGAAGGAGGGAGTTACTTCACTGCACGGCCACAGTTCTCCTGGAATTCCCAGAGCATGCCAAAAGAACCGACAGGGCTACAGATGTGGTGGCCAGCCCAGAGAAGGCCAGGAGTACCCAGGTCTTGTCTGAAAGTTTCTGCTGGGGTGTCAGAAGACACCTCTGAGCCCTGTGCAGCCTTCATGGATAGCAAAGGGATCAGGGTGGAAGTCAGAAGGAGGCAGGTTTAATCCTGAAATAAAGAATCTCAGGTAGAGCTCTCCAATTATGGAAACTCTACCATCTCCAGGGATATGCAAGCCAAGGCCAGTATTGACAGGGATGCTGCACAGCAGGGGTCGACAAACTTCATCTCACAGTAATGTTCAGCTGTGTAGGCCACATACAGTCTCTGTTGCATGTTCTTTTTTTTAGTTGAAATATAGTCAGTTTACAATGTGTCAGTTTCTTGTGTACAGCATAATGTTTCAGTCATACATATACATACATATGTTCCTTTTCATATTCTTTTTCATTATAGGTTACTACAAGATATTGAATATAGTTCCCTGTGCTATACAGTATAAACTTCTTGTTTATCTATTTTATATATAGTAGTTAGTGTCTGCAAATCTTGAACTCCCAATTTATCCCTTCCCACCCTCTTCCCCACACCCCGTAACCGTAAGTTTATTTTCTATGTCTGTAAGTCTGTTTCTGTTTTGTAAATAAGTTCATTTGTGTCTTTTTTTTTATGTTCCACACATAAATGATATCATGTGGTATTTTTCTTTCTCCTTCTGCCTTTTCACTTAGAATGATGATCTCCAGGTCCATCCATGTTGCAGCAAATGGCATTATTTTATTTTTTATGGTCTAGTAGTATTCTGTTGTATATATATAACACAACTTCTTTATCCAGTCACCTACTGATGGACATTCAGGTTGCTTCCACATCTTGACTATTGTAAATAGTGCTGCTATGAACATTGGGGTGCATATATCTTTTCAAATTAGAGTTCTCTCCGGATATATGCTCAGGAGTGGGATTGCTAGATCATATGGTAAGTCTATTTTTAGTTTTTTAAGGAATCGTCATACTGTTTTCCATAATGTCTGCACCAAACTACATTCTTACCATTTGTTGTGTGTTCTTATTTGTTTTGTTTGCTTTTAACTCTTTACAAATATAAAAAATTGTTCTTAGCTGGCAGGCCGTACAAAAATAGGCAGCCCTAGCCCTGCTGTAGAGGGCTCAGTATCAGGTAGAGTTTAGAAGTAAACAGTTGGCAAGTTTCCTTCCAGTCAGAAATCCTGAGTCTATGAAGCCGTAGGAGCCCCATGAACTGGCTCTGTGGCCCTGGGCAAATTGCTCCTTCTCTTAAGGCCTCAGCAGCCCCATCAGGAAAATGGACTGAAAAACATGTGCGAGAGGAGAGGAGGCATAGTGGGCAAGGTACAGTGCTTACTTCATACTTAAGCCCATACACATTCACCAAGGGCCTCTCTGTGCTAGGTGCTGGGAACACAGTCATGAGTGAAACAGCCGAGGTCTCTGGCCTCACACAACCTGTGGTCTAGCTGGGGAGGGAGGGCAGACAAGCACATAGTCACATGACTCTATAGGTATGAAGGAGAATAAGAACTTCGGGAAAGTTCAGAGGGCATGGCCCGGTCTGGTCGGTCAGGACCTGGTCTGGTTCCCCCACAAGATACCTAAATGTTAACCAGGTGAAAGAAGGGTAGGAGAGAGGAAAAGGGGCACCTCCAGGAGGAACAGCAGGGACAAAGGTCCAGCAGTTGGAGGGAGTGAGGCATTGTTAAGAAACAGCAAGAAGGGGTGGGTGGTTATAGCTCAGTGGTAGAGTGCATGTTTAACATGCACGAGGTCCTGGGTTCAATCCCCAGTACCGCCGATTAAAAAAAAAAGAAAAAGAAATAGGAAGAAGGCCAGAGAGAGTGGAGCTGAGAGAGCACGGTCTGAGCTGGAACCGGGAGGGTTAGGCAGGGGCCAAGCCACAAGGACTGTGAGAAGGATCTGGGTCTTTATCCCAACAAATACTTATGCCAGGCACTGTTCTAAGTGCCTTAACTGTGTTCTCACATCTACTTCTTCCAGCAACACCAAGGTAGGGGCTTTTTTATCCCCATTTTACAGATAAGAAAACTGAGGCTCAGAAAGTCTCAGTCACATACCAAAGTCACATAATTAATAAGCCCTAGAACCAGGCTCTAAATCTAGGCAATTCCAACATCCATGCTCTTTTTTTTTTTTGTCTGTTATTATAATTTTTTATTGAGGTGTAGCTGAGGTACAGTATTATGTGTTTCAGGGGTACAACATAGTGATTTATAATTTTTAAAGGTTATATTCCACTTACAGTTATTATAAAATATCTGCTATATTCCCTGTGTTGTACCATATATCCTCGTAGCTAATTTATTTTATCATAGTAGTTTGTACCTCTTAATCCCCCATCCCTGTCTTGCCCCTCCTTTCTACAACAACCAGGCTCTCATCCATCACATGGTACTGCCTTTCAGAGCACTAACGTGCCGTTGAAGTGCCATGATCAGGATAGGGTGACAATCAGATCTGAGTTCTGAAAAGATTGCTGTGGCTGTAGGGTTCTTATCATTCTAACCATTGTTTCGCCATCGCCGGGGAAGGTGGAGGGGACTAGTCTATCTGATGGTGTGCTGGAGATGGCTCGTAAGAGCTGATTGCGTACATCTCTTCCCAAGTTCACATTCAGTGATGTCACACTGGTAGCTGAAAATCAGCCATGGTGGGAATATTTACCAGGGAAAGCAGCCCATGCTACACACCAGGATCTGTTTCTCTCTGTATAGCCAGTGGATAAACATTTACCCGCAATCTATCTCCATCACCCCTGAAAGCCTCTCACGGTCCCCAGACACACTCACCCCGTTCCAGCCCATGTCTTGGGATAAAGCAAGAAGGTAAAGGCACTGAGTCTAGGAGTACTGAGTCTAGGAACCCAGCTCTACCAGACAGAGGCGTCACTTACAGCCCATCCTCTCCCACCCAGGCCTGGAGGAGTGCGGGCACATCAGCCTCTCAGCCCCCATCGTCCGCTTGGGGGATCCCATAACGGCCTCCTGCGTCATCAGCCAGAACTGCAGCCACCTGGGCCCCGAGCCACAGATTCTATGGAAACTGGAAGCAGAGCTTCAACCTGGGGGGAGGCAGCAGCACCTGCCGAATGGGACCCAGCTGTCCACCATCACCTTGCCCCACCTCAACTATTCTCAGGCCCTTCTCTCCTGCTGCCTGCGCTGGGGCAACAGCCTGCAGATCCTGGACCAGGCCAAGCTGCAGGCAGGCTGTAAGTTCCTGCAGCCATCCACCCACTCTGCCTCTTCCCTCCTGCCAATAAGAATAAGAGCTATTATTTCTTGAACTCTTGCTCAATAAGCACTTTATAAGCAAGATATCACATAATCTTACCTGCTGGTGGGTAGTGTTATTTAGCCCCATTTTGCAGGTGACGAAACTGAGGCTAGGGAGGGTAAGTGACATGTTAAAGGTCACAAACTAATAAGGATGGAGCCAAGACTGATATCAGGCAATGTGACTCCAAAACCAGAATACTCTGTTTGGCTACTGAGTAAGCCCAACTCCCCAACCATAGGAGGGGATATCCAGGGAGAACATTCTCTACGAGCTGAGCTTGCATCCAGCTTCTCCCCCACCCCAGTCTTAGCCTTTTGCTCAAATCAAGAGGATGGATTTGTGCCAAGCCAATGCATAATTAAAAACAAAGAAAGACCGGGGGAGGGTGTAGCTCAATTGCTAGAGCGCATGCTTAGCATGCACGAGGTCCTGTTTAATCCCCAGTACCTCCTCTGAAAAATAAATAAATAAACCTAATTACCTCCCTCCCCGCTCCACACACACAAAAATGAAAGACCAAGTTTCTTGTTTAAGAATCAATAATAGTAACATAAAATGAATAAAAAGAAAAGAAAAAAGAGACAGAAAAAAAGAGAAACAAACAAAAAAAAAGAATCAATAATAGTAAAAGCTAACACAGAGCATTTACTATGTGCCAGGCACTGCTCTGAGCACTGTATACATAGTAAGTCATTCAACCCTCACAATAACCCAAGGAGTAGGGCTATTACCAAGACCTCCATTCTACAGATGAGGAAACTGAGGCACAGAGCAGTTAAGTGACTTCAAGATCACACAACTAATGCATGGTAGAACCAGGATGAAAACCCAGATATACTACAGCATCATTGTCAAAGCGAGCAGAGTTGAGAGGGTTGGAGGCTTTGTTGTTTGTCCTGGTTCAGGCCTGTAGCTTGGTTTCCCCCAGGGCTGCCCCTCCGGGGTCACCCTGCATGGGGACAAGGTGACCCCAAAGAGAATGATCCAGAGCAAGGAAAAAAGGCCAACTGGTCCCAGTGGGAGCCTTCCATGGGGTCCTACCTGAAGCCCTCACTCTCCCCACCCTATACAGACCCTCCCGCCACACCCCACAACGTGTCCTGCCTCATGAACCTCACCACCAACAGCCTCATCTGCCAGTGGGAGCCAGGACCTGACACCCACCTGCCCACCAACTTCACCCTAAAGAGCTTCAAGTAAGTAGGGGTCTCTACTCCAGCTCCATTCCTTTGGGTCCTGGGGCGGAGCGTGGGTAGGACTGTGGGGGTGGGGGAGCCAGAGGCAAAGATAGGAGAGAGTTTCTTTCCCCACTGGACACCCAAGCTTGGCCTTTTGGCAGGAGCCGGGGTAACTGCCAGACCCAGGAGGACTCCATCCCTGACTG